GGAAAACTGCTTGAACCTGGGAGGCAGAGGTTGCAGTGAGCTGAGATCGCACCACTGCATTCCAGCCTGGTCTACAGAGTTAGGCTCCGCCTTAACAACAACAATAAAAAAAACTGGCCAGGCATGGTGGCACATGCCTGTAGTACTGGCTACTTGAGAGGCTAAGGCAGAGGGATTGTATGAACCCAGGAGGAAGAGGTTGCAGTGAGCCAAGATCTCCTGACTACAGTCTGGGTGGCAGAGCAAGATTCTGTCTCAAAACAAAAATAGAAACAACAAAAAAAACTGTTTTTCTGTCAAAGACACTGTTAAGAGGATAAAAAGACAAACTACAGACAGAAATACTTACAAACCACATATCTGACAAAGGGCATATGTCTGGAATATGCAATGAACTCTCAAAACTCAAAAGGGAAAAAAACAACAACAAAGCATTCAGTAGTTGACATTTCAATGAAGAGGATATACAAACAGCAAATAAGCACATTAAAAAATATTCAACATTATTAGCCATTATGGAAATGCAAATTAAAAGCACGAGCTATCACTATAAAGCTATCATATAGTTGATGGCTAAATCTAAAATTAAAAAATAGAAATCAAACTGAATGCTGGTGAGGATGTAGAGAAATTGAATCATTGCTGGTGGGAACATAAAATAGTACAGTTACTCTGGAAAAGAGTTCGGTAGTTTCTTTTAAAACAAAAACCACATACATACAACCTAGTAACTGCACTCTCAGGCATTTATCCTACAGAAGTGAAAACTTACATTCAAGAATACAGAACTCAGAAATAAACCCAAATACTTATAGCCAACTATTTTTGACAAAGCAAACAAAAACATAGGGGGAAAGGACACCCTTTTCAACAAATAGTGCTGGGACAACTGGCTAGCCCCATATAGAAGAATGAAACTGGACCCTCATATCTCACCTTATACAAAAATCATCTCCAGATAGATTAACAAATTAAATCCAACACGTGAAACCATAAAAATTCTAGAAGATAACATTGGAAAAACTCTTCTAGACCTTGGCTTAGGCACGGATTTTATAACTAAGAACCCAAAAAAGCAAATACAATAAAAACAAAGATAAATAGCTGAGGCTTAATTAAAGAGCTTTTGTATGGCAAAAGAAACAGTCAGCAAAGTAAACAGACAACCCACAGAGCGGGAGAAAATCTTCACAATCTATACATCTGACATGAGACTAATATTCAGAATCTATAACAAACTCAAAACAAATTAGCAAGAAAAAAACAAACAATCCCATCAAAAAGTGGGCTAAACAATACAAATAGACAATTCTCAAAAGAAGATATACAAATGGCCAACAAACAAATGAAAAAATGTTCAACATTACTAATGAACAAGGAAATGCAAATCAAAAGAACAATGCAATACCACCTTACTCCTGCAAGAATGGCCATAATCAAAAAAATAAAAAAATAGTAAATGTTGGTGTGGATGTGGTGAATAGGGAACACTTCTACACTGCTGGTGGGAATGTAAACCAGTATGTCCACCATAGAAAACATTGTGGAGATTCCTTAAAGAAATAAAAGGAACATAAAGAAGAGGGGGGAGGACTCAAGATGGCGCTGTGAGAACAACCCAGGATTGGAGCTCTCTGAGTCCGCGGAGAGGGACATGGATGAATCTGGAGAACATCATCCTCAGCAAACTGACACAAGAACAGAAAATGAAACACCGCATATTCTCACTCATAGGCGGGTGATGAAAAATGAGAACACATGGACACAGAAAGGGGAGTACTAAACACTGGGGTCTATTGGGGGGAAAAGGGGAGGGCCAGTGGGAGGGGGAGGTGGGGAGGGATAGCCTGGGGAGAAATGCCAAATGTGGGTGAAGGGGAGAAGCAAAGCAAAGCACACTGCCATGTGCATACCTACGCAACTGTCTTGCATGCTCTGCTCATGTACCCCAAAACCTAAAATCCAATAAAAAATTAAAAAAAAAAAAAAAAAAAAGAAATAAAAGTAGGGCTACCATTTGATCCAGCAATTTCACTAATGGGTATCTACCCAGAGGAAAAGAAGTCATTATATGAAAAAATACTTGCACACGCATGTTTATAGCAGCACAATTCATAATTACCAAAATGTAGAACCAACCCAAATGCCCATCAATCAATGAGTAAAGAAACTGTGATAGTATTCCATTGTGTATATGTGTATGTGTGTGTATATGTATATATAGATATATACACGATGGAATACTACTCAGCCATAAAAAGGAATGAGTTAATGGCATTTGCAGCAACTTGGATGGGACTGAAGACTATTATTCTACATGAAGGAACTCAGGAATGGAAAACCACACATCATATGTTCTCATTCAGAAGTGGAAGCTAAGCTATGAGGATACAAAGGCATAAGAATGACACAATAGACCTTGGGGACTCAGAGGGAAAGGGTGGGACAGGGGTGAGGGATAAAAGACTACAAATCAGGTTCAGTGTATACTACTTGGGTGATGGGTGCACCAAAATATCAAAAATCACCACTAAAGAACTTACTCATGTAACAAATATTACCTGTTCCCCAATAACCTAGGGAAATTTTAAAAAGTAAAGTAAAAGAAGTCAAATTATCTTTCTTCACTGATGACAGCTTAGGCAACAGAGGGAGCCCCCATTGCCCAACATAATTTATTAATATTAAAAAATAAAATAAGGGGGATATACAATATCTACACATCTATTTACTAATCCTCCCCCAATTTATGAGTATCTGACACACAAATGTCTTTTATATGCAAAGTGCTACATCACAAATAAAGGAAGGCAGCCTTGCCTAAAAGTTTAACAAAATAAGAAGGCTCTCTTCCTAGAAAGCCAAAGGAAGAGAGAGCCAACAAGATGTGTCAGGTGCTGCTGCATTTCTTTTGCACGGCAGAAAGCAACTCCCTACAAAAAAGTTTATTTTAAATGATTGATTAATTTTGCTGAATTAAGCCTAAGTGTGATTACCAGTTATACCACAACTTACGTGAAAAAACAGCTGTGAGTTCATAAAGCTGATTTTAAAAATAAATTTTAAGATATAGTCTGTATAAGCTGGCTCACACTCTCTTTTTTTAAAACTGTCATCTGGAAATTATTTTAAATGTATCTAACACTAGATTTTACGTAGAAGACCAAGTGACCTGAGGTACATTTTATAGAGGTTAATTGGGTTGTTGTGGTGGGGAAGGAATGGAGGATGTCAAGAGTGAAAGAAGTATGCCAACTGAGAAGCTTCTGCAACAAATAGTACAAGCAAGAGATGACAGTGGACTGGACTAGAACAATGGCAGTAGAGAGAAAAATAGAGAGATTAAGAAATAGGAGGTGCTAGCCAGACATGGTGGCTCACGCCTATAATCCCAGCACTTTGGGAGGCCAAGGCGGGCAGATCACCCGAGGTCAGGAGTTCAACAGTTTGGCCAACATGGCAAAACCCCATCTCTACTAAAAATACAAAATCAGCCAAGTGTGGTGGCGCATGCCTGTAATCCCAGCTACTCGGGATGCTGAGGCAGAACTGCCTGAGCACAGGAGGTGAAGGTAACAGTGAGCTGAGATCACACTGCACTCCAGCCTGGGTGACAGAGTGAGACTCTGTATCAAAAAAAAGAAAAGAAAAAAAAATAGGAGATGTTGATATTAGATGTGATTATTAGAAAGAGAGAAAAATATGAAGAGGGGACTAACTAAATTTTTGGCTTGGGTATCTGGTGAGTGGATGTATCATTTACCAAGATGAGAAAAAGAAAGAAGAATAGTTCTTTGTTTGAGGGAGTAGGCTGGGTTAGTGAGAAATCAAGATTTTTAATATTGAAAACCTCAGAGGATACGTCAAGTTTCAAGGTGAAAGTGGTAACTTGTGTCAAATGCTATCGAGGTATGTAAGATGAGGGAAAAAAAGAGTAATAACAAGGTTGCTGATTAACAAGGGCTAGGGTACATAATCCACTCTTACAGGAAGGAAGGTGGTACAGATGCAGGTAAGTTGATAGATTTTGTAGTAAGAATATGAGAAAGTTCCCTAATAGCCTCTATTTTCTCAAGGAATTATGAAGCAAGTGTCAGCTGAGAAATGAATTTTCAATATATGCTATGATGGGAATAAAGAAAGTGATACGGGAGTAAAAAGGAGGGGCACCTAACTCAGACTAGAGGTGAGTGTAGAAGAGACCTCAGGAAGAATAGAAATTAATAAAGAGAGGGTAGTAAGGCCAGGAGTAAGAGCATCCCAGACATGCAAAATTTCAGAGGCAAAGAAGAAAGGGCATGTTCAGGGAGCTAAAAGGCACCTAAGAGGTCCAGATAGGGATTGGTAAGAAATGAGGTTAGATAAGCAGATGTCAAAATCAAGAAAAGCCTTGTATGCAATGTTAAGGCCACTGAAATCTGTCATGCAGACAATCAGAAGTGCCATTGAAAAGTGTAATATATATTTTATTTTGGTGGTCTTCACATCAGTTTGGAGAAAATATTTGTGAATTTAATATATAAGTAATATAAGATTAGTCCGTTTCTATATTGGATACTTAAAATTGGAAAGGTAGTAGAGTTTAGTGGTTAAGAGTACAGATACTAGAGCCAGAATGTTTGTGTTCAAATCTTAGCTATGCCAGGTGCAGGGGCTCATGCTTGTAATCCCAGCACTTTGAAGGCAGAGGTGAGGGGATCACTTTAGCCCAGAGGTTAAGGCTGCAGTGAGCCATGATCATGCCACTGCACTCCAGTTTGGATGACAGGGTGAGACCCTATCTCTTGTAAACAAAACAAAAACAAAACCAGAGCTATGTCACTTAGCAATTTTGTGATTTGGGCACTTATTTAACCTGTGTTTGAGTTTCCTTATCTTTAAATGGAAGTTTTAATAGTAAAAAAGTAAATAATATCATCTCAGTCAGAGGACTACTTTAAAAACTACATTAGTTAATATAGCATTCTGTAAATGTTAGCTATTGTTATTTATAATTTTACCTGCTTTTTAATGTCATAGTTTTCACCATCTTCAGCTCTCATTTTTTCAATCTTTTCTTCTTGTTGTTTTGCTTCTTTTTCATACATCACTTTTTCTTTCACTAACCTATAAAAAAAGCCAAAAATGTTTCAGAAAATTAGCTTTCTCTCTAGACCATAAGAGACAAAGAAACTGTGTAAATATAAAACATATTATATTTAAAATACCAAAGTAGATATACTAGATTGGGGGGAAGAACAGAAGAAGAAGAGTTTAGTCATAGATATAAGTATGATAAAGTTCTATACCTGCCTAATAAGTACAATCTATCAAAGCATGAAATTCTTAATTTTTAAATTAAAAACCCACTTCAGTATATAATTACAATGTCAAAGCGATACTCGAAAATTAGTTATATACTAATACAACTGTCTTTATTTTTTTTTTAAATATGTCTTCCAAACATGTATCTGAAACAGCACAATGATAAAAGCTCAGTTTACTGGCAGGGAAAAATTCAGTAGATAGCATGTCAAATCCAAAACAAAGAAAGACTGGATTACTTTTAACAACAAAATTGTTTAACAAGTATTCATTTGCACTTAATTTTATGCCACATTTTCCGTGTGCGAGGAGCTGGGATAGATAACTTAGACATGGTTCTCTCATAGACAAGTGGTGGAAACAAACTAGTATTTACTTACTAAAGTAAGAAAAAGTATTGAAAAAGAAAGTACATTGGGAAAAATTTCAACAATATGAAATACTGCAATACAAAGTTCTGATTATCCTTTAGATAATCCAAATTAAATTAACCATAATAGTTTAATCTCCCCTAATTCAGGTTTATTAAAGTTGTAATATAAAAGAATAGTCCAAGAAAATATTAACATTCCTATATACATAGTACCTGAAGAGCAGAAGAAAAAGCTTTCATAGCCCATATGCATTAAAAATAGCTTATTCTGGCAGGGCACGGTGGCTCACGCCTATAATCCCAGCATTTTGGGAGGCCAAGGCGGGTGGATCACGAGGTCAAGAGATCGAGACCATCCTGGTCAACAAGGTGAAACCCCATCTCTACTAAAAATACAAAAATTAGCTGGGCGTGGTAGTGCACGCCTGTAGTCCCAGCTACTCGGGAGGCTGAGGCAGGAGAATTGCTTGAACCCAGAAGGCGGAGGTTGCGGTGAGCCGAGATCATGCCATTGCACTCCAGTCTGGGTAACAACAGTGAAACTCCATCTCAAAAAAAAAAAGCTTATTCCATCTGGCTGTTGGCAAGATGGCAAGGATGTAGACTAGTTGGAACAATCAAATATTGCTGATGGCAATCAAAACTGGTATAGTAGCTTTAGAAAAGTTTTGACTATTCCTCAAAAAGTTAAATAGTGTAGCCATATGTCCTGACAATTCCATTTCTAGGTATATACCCTAGAAAAATGAAAATATATGCCCAGAGAAAACATGTCTATGAATGTTTACAGCAACATTATGCATGACAGGCAAAATGTGGAAGTCCAATGACCAATGGAAAATGTGGTATATCCATAAAATGGAATACTGGTCAATTTAAAAAAAAATGAAGTGCTGATTCAAGCTACAACATGGATGAAGCCTGAAAACATGCTAAGTAAAAAGGAAGCCTGACATAAAAGGCTACATATTATGTGATTTTATTATAGGACATATCCAGAACAGGCAAATCTATAGAAATATAAAGTAGATTAGTGGCTACCTAGGACTGGGGACAACAGGGGAATTGGAAGGGTGATAGCTAAAGGGCATAAGATTTCTTTTGGGGGTAAGGATCATGTTCTAAAAATGACTGTGGTGACAGTTGCGCAACTCTGTGAATATGCTAAAAGCCAATAAATTGTAGATTTAAAATGGGTTAATTGTATAATATGCGAATTATATCTCAATAAAGCTGTTGACAAAAAGGGAAAAAAAAAGCTGTGACCACAAAGTCAACTTCAGGGGAAAGCTGCAAGTACTGATCCATTCAAGCATGACAAATCAAACATGTGAATGTCAGATACAGAAATCTGCATTTGATTTATAATTAAAAACTGTTTTAATAATTTTTAATATTAAAATATTATTTGAGACATAAAATTTTTTAAATAAAATCATTAATGCATATCACTAAAGATACTTCTCTAAAAGTTCCCTTTAAATAACAAAAGAAATTTGTTAGGGCAGAGATGGCAAACTGCCAGGCTGCTTAAATGAAACCTAAACATGATTTTATTTGACTCACAATGTTAAAAAGAAGGAATATTTTTTAAAAAATGGTGTTGTCACATTAAAAAGCTGGGAGATTTGACATATACATCTGAATTTCTGGCTTCTCTTGGATATTTTCATCAGGAAACATAGAGGTTGTATTCCCACTGGTGGAGGAAGCTAAGTGGTGGCTGTTATCTCTTGTAGAAGGATTACATGCTATTCCTTTGCCCCAATTCACATAACCCCCTGTTTCATTAACAGTCAGGCATCATACTTGGTCTTTGTAAGCCTTTGAGTTTGGGACCTGTGAGCATATCATCAATGCAACAGTATTACTATTGTTGTTTTATTATCATGATTATTATATAATCATGATTATTATTCAGAATATCAAGAATATTCAGAAACTACTGGATTAGCAATGAGACTTTCAATACTTCTAAATCTGGTATGTTACTAAACTCCCCCAGTAATGAAAGTAGCTGGAATTGGATAGGTTATCAAAGACTTAAACAGGGTTAGGCAGTCTATGGTCAGGAAGCCAAATCCATTCTGTAATCTGTTTTTGTATAGTCTAAGAGCTATGAACAGTTTTTACATTTTTGAATGGGTAAAACTTTTTTTAAAGAATTGTCATATGAAAATATGGAATTCAAAGTTAATATTCATAAATAAAGTTTTATTGGAACACATATATATAATCTATGGCTGCTTTCACGCAACAAGAGCAGAGAAGAGTAGTTATGATAGAACCATATGGCCTGTGAAACCTAAAATATAATATCTGGTCCTTTACAAATAAGGGTTGCTGATACCTGACTTGAAAGACTTCCACTTAATTCTGTCCAACACCTACTTAACTATATTAGCATCAACACACTACACTGAAGCCATTTACTTCCTAGGTCTTAAGTTCCTTGAAGAGAGGATTAGGTTGTATTCATATTGTATAATTGATCTTCTTACATAGTAGGCACTCAATGTTGGCTGAATGAATAAAAGTTGAGTCTAGAAATCTCACTGTTGCCTTTTAATATTTTCGATTTAAAGACAGAAATATATATTTATAAAACAATTCTGAAGCAGAAAAAAGTGATTCACAAAAATTGAGCAATAAGAACAACATGGTGACTTCTGAAGAAGTATACAACAGAAGAGGATTCTATGCCCAAGCCCACGAATAATTCTGATTGATAATCCAAGTCATCCTACTTCATTGTGCTTGCCTATAAAAAACAGCAGCAATGGCTCCAGCAACACTGAAGAGTTACTTAACTACCTATCACATGAGCTAAGTAAAGGTGCTGCATATTTGCATGGTTATTGACATATCAAAATAAATACAAATTATGTTTTTGCTTAAAAAGTTGTATTTTGTGAAATGGCCCAGGAAACAAGTTATTGAATAGCATGTATTGCCCTGAAAAAGAAAAAAAAAAAATCACTCATTTAGTGAGAACCCAGTAATGGGTCAGATGATGCTGAAGGTTTTATAAAGTATATATACAACTTGAATTTCAGTAAATATCATCAAATTGCTTTCCAAGCAGTTTCATCAGTTGATATTCAACCTGTAGTATATGAAATTTCCTACTTCTTGGCATCCTGGTGAACTGAGATTGTCAAAATTATTAAACTTCTCACAATCAGAAGAGTGTGAAATAGTATTCTATTATGGTTTGAAATACTTCTCTAATAAGGTTGAGTCTCTTTATGCTTATTAAAATAGTAGTTATTGGATAAATATTTGTTGAATCAATGAATTAATAACTTCTGGTGAATCTGGCTCTTTTCTCATTTGTAGGAAAGCCTAAGATTTAATAAGAAACTGAAAGACAAGTATGTATTTTTAAATTTGTAACTAAGACATTTTTCTATAATGTACATATGTACATATTTATAAAAATAAAAAATTATAAAAACCAATATTTCAAAAATCACTCCTAATCACTACCAATTCAAAATACACATAATTCTGAAACCCAAAAGTTTTTTTAAAAAATAACTTTTATTATTAGACACAACTCATTCAGCAGCAAAGTGTAAACTCAAATGAGGTAACATGATTTATAGAATTTATGTGTACCAATTAATGTGAATAGTCATGTTTCACTGCAGAAATACTACTGTGTATGATTATAGAGAACTTTTCTAGATGCTATTATGGAAATATATACTACTTCTATAAAATTCAAAAAATCACAAACACATATGGGCCCAAGGGTTTTCAAAATAAGGGATTATGGACCTGTATTAACATTTTGAGTATTGTCCACTAGTCTTTTTCTCTTAACATGTGTGAAAATTTACATTTAGATATATAAAAAAATAATTTGGGCCAGGTGCAGTGGCTCACACCTGTAATCCCAACACCTTGGGAGGCTGAGGCAGGAGGATCACTTGAGGCCAGGAGTCTGAGACCAACCTGGGCAAGATGGCGAGATTTCATCTCTACAAAAAACTTTTTAAAATTAGTCAGGCATGGTGGCATGGAGGTGTAGCTCCAGCTACTCAGGAGTCTGAGGTGGGAGGATCCCTAGAGACTAGGGAGTCATGGATGCAGTAAGCTATTATTGTGCCAATGCATTCCAGCCCAAATAACAGAGCAAGACTGTCTCAAAAAGTATATAATAATATTAATAAATAATAATAATTTGGATAATAAGTCACTTCCAATGTCATTCAATGTTCTTTGAAAATATAGCTGTTAGTGATTGTGAAGTAAAGATGACAGCATATGAAGCATTATTCTGTTGGATATTTAACTCATTCCCATATTATAAATAATACTGTGATGAACATTCCTACCTATAAGTTTAATAGACATGAAATATTTTCTTCCTAAAAAATTTTTTTAAATACACAGTATATAATAGTGAAACAGCATAGTGAAA